AGAGTCTGCAGGAGACCGGGCTGAGGGACAACAGAGGGGAGGAGGGCCTGGGCGTGTGTTGGCTGCCCGCTCAGCCCCTCTTGGCCCTCAGGTGTTCAACAGTAAACACTTCTCACTTTTTCTTTTTTTTTTTTTTGTGACGGAGTCTTGCTCTGTCGCCCAGGCTGGAGTGCAGTGGCACAATCTCGGCTCACTGCAAGTTCCACCTCCCGGGTTCACGCCATTCTCCTGCCTCAGCCTCCAGAGTAGCTGGGACTACAGGTGCCCACCACCACGCCTGGCTAAATTTTTATGTTTTTAGTAGAGATGGGGTTTCACCATGGTCTCGATCTCCTGACCTCATGATCCTCCCACCTCGGCCTCCCAAAGTGCTGGGATTACAGGCGTGAGCCCCCGCACCCGGCCCCAATTCCCACTTCCCACTTTTGAGCCTCTGTTTCCTCATCTGTGAAATGGGAAGAGGACCCGTGCCTCCTGGGCAGGGATGCTGAGGACAGAGGGTACACGTACACGGCACGGGGCAGCCTGACCGGCCCTGGCCCTGTCGCTCAGTCCTCACTCAGGCAGGCAGGGTCAGCGGGACAGGACTGACCAGTTAGGCAGTTGGCTGCCCCAACTGTGGGCTGGGGTGCTGCTGGCCGGGCTGCAGCCGAGGATGGTCAGGGTCTCTGGGGGCCGGACCTGTCAGGCTCTCACTCTGTGTAGACTCTGGCATTTCAGAAAGTGCCACCCTAGCAGATAGCCAGCCCCCATCCCTGCTGCCTGGACTCAGGGCTCAAAAGAGCTCCCTGGGAATTTGGGCTAAAAAGAAAAGCCCACAACAGCCATGCCAAGCATCAGATGGTGAGGGGGCTCTGTGGGCTCCAGGCTGGATGCTACCTGCTCCACCCTGTACAGCCGGCCGTATGGCATCTAGGCACCTCCCTCCACCTGCCCCCATTTCCCCTCTGTCCCTACCCCTGCCCAGCGCAGGCCCGGCCTGAGGGGGCCTCAGGGGGGCCTTGTGGGTGAGGGCTGCCTGGGTGACGCCTGCCATCCCTGCCAGCTCTCAGAACGCTACGGGCCGGTGTTCACTGTGCACCTGGGGTGCCAGAAGACGGTGGTGCTGACAGGGTTCAAGGTGGTCAAAGAGGCGCTGGCAGGCCCTGGGCAGGAGCTGGCCGACCGGCCTCCCATCGCCATCTTCCAGCTCATCCAGCGAGGTGGAGGTAGGTATGTGGCCTGCGCAGTGGGGGACTGCAGGGTGTGGCGGCACCTGGATCCCAGGAGGGGAGGAGGGCGCCAGCAGCGGAAAAGGCTCCCAGGGTGGCCTGGGGAAGAGCAGGCAGGAGCTGGGCCTCCAGGCTGGTGCTGGGGGGGACCAGGTGTCCACACAGCAGGTCAGGTGCTCAGGACCAGCAAGCAGGGGTCTTTTCATCCCAAGTCAAGAGGGGCCAGGGCCAGTCCAGGGGGATGGGAGTGGGATTGGGGGTGAGGGCCCAGCCAGTCTTACTACCCCTAGGTCAGCCTGCTCACTTCCTGCCCGCTTGCCTGGCGGGGCTGGCTGGGGTGAGAACCTGGGCTCGTCAGGCACCACATCTGCCTGCCTGGTGGGACTGGCTGGGGTGAGAACCTGGGCTCACTGGGCGCTGCATCTGCCCACAGGCATCTTCTTCTCGTCTGGGGCGCGCTGGAGAGCTGCCCGCCAGTTCACGGTGCGTGCCCTGCACAGCCTGGGCGTGGGCCGGGAGCCGGTGGCTGACAAGATTCTGCAGGAACTGAAATGCCTTTCGGGGCAGCTGGATGGCTATAGAGGTGAGCAGGGGGCTGGGGACGCCCCTCCCCAGGCCTCAACGTGCCTGAGGTCTGTCTCCCTTGCAGGCCAGCCCTTCCCACTGGCCCTACTGGGCTGGGCTCCCTCCAACATCACCTTCACGCTCCTCTTCGGCCGCCGGTTCGACTACCGGGACCCAGTGTTTGTGTCCCTGCTGGGTCTCATCGATGAGGTCATGGTCCTCTTGGGGTCCCCTGGCCTGCAGGTGAGGGGCTGCCTCCCGTCCTCGGGGTGGGGTGGAGCCCGGGGTGCTGGGCGTGCAGGGGAAGGACAGGGGCCCCAGCACTGTCCCCTCTCAGCTCTTGGCCCTCCCACCTTGCAAAACGAATCAGACTCAAGGGCCTGAATCCAGACCTATCTGACGTTAGCTGGTCGTGTGGCCTCAAACCAGCCGCTGTGCTCTCCAGGAAATGGGGGATCTTGATCTCCCTCGACGCCCTCATCAGTGACAGATGCACCTGCTCAAGGGCGGGGGCGGGAGGCAGGCATGGCTTCCCCAGGATTGCAGAGGGCTTCATGCCCCCCCAGCCCTGACGGTCCAGGCACCTTCCAGCCGACACCCTTCACAGTGCCCCAAAACCACAAAAGTTGATCCCTCTGATGTTTGGAACGCATGTGCATTTCATTTTGCTTCAAAATGTAAAGTTTCCCTCTTTTGGGTCCTCACCGTATTCGATGTGTGTTTACCGAAGCCCGCATCTCAGGTGTGATACCCACGTCACGGCTGGACCCAGAGGCCACGGGTCCTGGTCCTCCCGGCTTCCCAGTGGCAGGGCTGTGACGGGAGTGAGGGCAGCGGCGGGTTCACAAGCGAGAGCAGGGGGCACAGCTTCTACCCGTCCTAGCCAGGGTGAGACCACCCTGCCTACTGGTGCAGCCAGGAGGGCCCGGAGCCCACCTGGAAGATGGAGGTTGCATGGCACTGCGTGGTCCGGGGCAGTGCCAGGGCAGCGGAGCGTTCCCTGGCTTTCCCTGCTGGCGCCAGCTCCTTGCCACGGAGGCGCCGTGTGGACCTCGCTACTGGTGATCACGGACACCCCAGGAAGGCGAGTGGCATGAGGTGTGGCGGGATGGCCGTGGGCAGTCATGGAGCACCCGCTGGTGCCAGGCTCACCCCTCAGATACAGCCTCGTGTCCGCGGCGGCCCCAACTTTCCGAGGTCTGAGGTCTGCTCTGCCTCCCATTCCATGACTCACAGGAGGTTCAAGGTTATTTCCATGGTGGCAGTCGCCTCCCTCCTCCCTCTCCAGGATGGAAGGAGGTCCTGCTGTGCAAACCTGCCTGGTTGTCCCCTTCCAGAGCACGGATGGGGGTTTTCTGGGAGTCCCTGGTCCTCCCTTGAGGGCGAAGGGTCCCTGTTCTGTGGCCGCCTCCAGCACATCCGCTCAGAGCCCCTGGGTGTGAACACAGCTGCTGGGGACGATCACTGCCTGCCAGGGTGCAGTCCTGGGGCTGCGTCCTCATCTCTGCTCCTCCTGCCTCCTACCCAGCTATTCAACGTCTACCCCTGGCTTGGGGCCCTGCTCCAACTGCACCGGCCCGTCCTGCGAAAGATCGAGGAGGTCCGCGCCATTCTGAGGACCCTCCTGGAGGCGCGGCGGCCCCACATGTGCCCGGGGGACCCTGTGTGCAGCTATGTGGATGCCCTGATCCAGCAGGAACAGGTGTGCCAGGACCCAGGTCCTCCTCGAAGGCCTGTAGGAGTCCTGAGGGCCACCCCAGGGGAGCAGGGCTGGGAAGGGGTCCATACCAGTCCTGCACCAAGCTCCCCACCTCCTGGCTGGCGGCCTCTCAGAGCCTCAGTCTCCTCGTCTGTGAAACGGGGCATCCCTACTGCCTGCCTGGGGGACGGCTGAGCCCAGATCACTGGGGCATCCATAGTGGAGCCCAGGGCTGGGCTGGGTCTGTGGGGTGGGGGACAGACCCCAGATCATCCCACGGAGCCCTGCCCCACACCTCTGCAGGGGGATGACCCCGAGGGCCTGTTTGCTGAGGACAACGCAGTGGCCTGCACCCTGGACATGGTCATGGCCGGGACGGAGACGACCTCAGCCACACTGCAGTGGGCTGCGCTTCTGATGGGCCGGCACCCGGACGTGCAGGGTGAGACCCCGGCGCCAGGCGAGACGACACCTGCCCCCGGGGGACCCCCAGGGCCGAGGGATGGCACTCCCACCGACGCGGCCCACCCCTCGCCCCAGGCCGGGTGCAGGAGGAACTGGACCGTGTGCTGGGCCGTGGGCGGCCTCCCCAGCCGGAGGACCAGCAGGTGCTGCCCTACACCAGCGCCGTGCTCCACGAAGTGCAACGGTTCATCACGCTCCTGCCGCACGTGCCCCGCTGCACCGCCACTGACATGCAGCTGGGCGGCTTCCTGCTCCCCAAGGTGGGGCCGGGCCTCCCTCGCCCCTTCCATCTCCTTCGGGGTAGGCCTCGGCAGGGGTGCAGGGGCACTGGGACGGCTGAGCCTCCAGTGGGTGCCTGATGGCCCAGGGCTCCCCAACTGGAGGCAATAAGGGGCGTTCAGCCAGGAGCAGGAGGGAGGCAGCCCTCACCCCACAGCCCAGCACTTGGGGCTCTGGCCAGCAGACCTGGTGCCTCCCTGCATATCCTGGGGTCCCCTCCATGTGCCCTGTGGGCATCCCTGTCCATGTGTCCTGGGGGGTCCCCTCCATGTGTCCTGTGGGCATCCCTGTCCATGTGTCCTGGGGGGTCCCCTCCGTGTGTCCTGGGGCATCCCTGTCTATGTGTCCTGGGGGGTCCCCTCCGTGTGTCCTGGGGTGTCCCTCTCCGTGCATCCTGGGTGTTCTCTCTATCCTCGGGGCCCCTGGCTGTGTGCCCTGGGGTCACGTGGCCTCCCTGGGTTCGGGTGCCTCACCTGCAAAGTGGGCTAACACCAGATGTGGTGGGTGTGGCAGGAGCTACATCCTGGAATGAAACTTCCCGATCTGGGCCCCATCCCACCTTTCCCGGGGCCCCTCTCTCTGTGCCCTGGCTGCCCACGCAGGGCACGCCCGTGATTCCTCTGCTGACCTCGGTGCTGCTGGATGAGACACAGTGGCAGACCCCAGACCAGTTCAACCCGGGCCATTTCCTGGACGCGGACGGGCACTTCGTGAAGCAGGAGGCCTTCCTGCCTTTCTCTGCAGGTCGGCAGCCCTTGTGGCTGGGGTGGGGCGGCACCACCAGGGCTGCAGGGGTGGGACGTCCCCAGCTCCGCCTGCCGCCTCCACTCCCACCTCCTGATCTCAGGTTCTGAAGGCGGCTGTGGCTGCTCCTCCGCTTCCCTGGGGAGGTCCCCACCCCTCCCCTCCAGGAGCAGACCTGGCACAGCCCACTCTGTGCCTCGACTTCCCCTGCAGGCCGCCGTGTCTGTGTCGGGGAGCGCCTGGCCAGGACCGAGCTTTTCCTGCTGTTTGCTGGCCTCCTGCAGAAGTACCACCTGCTGCCCCCACCTGGTGTCAGCCCGGCCTCCCTGGACACCACGCCTGCCCAGGCTTTCACCATGCGGCCGCGGGCCCAGGCCCTGTGTGCGGTGCCCAGGCCCTAGGGGCTCCCCCAGTCCCTGGGTCCCCTGCCCACTCCCCTCCCAGCCCCCAGCTCGGACTGCTCTGGGAGAGCCCTGAGAACTCCCACCCCCACCCCCACAGGGTCAGCAGCTGCTTCCGCTTACACCCAGGTCTGCCCCTGCCCGACCCTGTGGGACCCCCACCCCTCTGGTGCCATCTGCAGCTCAGTCCCTGCCAGGCCCCAGGAGCGCCTCCAGGGCCCTGCCCACTCTTCCACCCCTGAAGCTGCACTCCCACCCACCGAGCTCCCCCGAGGGCCCATCCAGCTGGGGCTGCCGAGAGATGGCAGGTGGCTGCATCCAGCCAGAGACAGGCGCAGACAGGTGTCCTCAGCGTGTGAGCCCTGCACCCACCAGGCCCTGGGACTCCTGCAGACCCCGCTCCGTTCCTGCTCCTGGAACAGTTCCTGTGGCTATACCTGGAGGCAGTCGGCCTGCAGTGCCAGACTGTGAGCCAAGCCACCGGGGCTGCCCTTGGTCCTCCATGTGCGTGACAGGTGCAGGGAGGCGAGGCCCACGTTCTCCTTTGGAGACAGGAACTGGAGCCGGAGGCTCCCAAGTCTGCCCCATTTTCTGGGGACCTGAGCAGACCTATTCCACTCCGGGCTGTTTTCCACTCTGTGAAGTGGGTGATGGTGACTGCGGGACCCGTGGCGTGTGTGCTGGTGGTGGCGTGGCCGGCGTGTGCTGGGACACCTGGTGTCTGAGATGGCCCTGGCCCCGGCCCAGCGCAGAGCATGCATGTGAGCAGCAGGTGGCCCCTCACAAGAAAAGAGAATAAGCCGTGGCGCGTTCCCACCTGCACCCCGTGGAGCGGCGCCCCAAGGCCAGGACCC